GGGCTCCTTTGATCGGTTCCATCACATAGCGGTGATGGGGGGCCGTTGATGATGTCCTGCGGGATGGTGTGGGTGGGGGGGTGGAGGGTCTGAGTTTGGAGTATCTGGATGTTCCCTGGGGATGGGTTCACTGGGGATGTCTGGCACTGGGGGGCCGTTCCCCCCCTCTGGAGGTGCTTGGGTTGCCTCGGGGGGTGTACTGCTGGCGGTTGTGAGTGGGGCCCCTTGGAGGTCTTGGCGGCGGCCATGGGTCACTGCCTGGCGGCTGCGTTGCCCCTGGGTGGGTCTGGGTGGGGGCCTGGGGGCTCGGGGTGTTGGGGTGGCCGGCCCCGTGTGGGGATCTGGGCTGGGCCTTGGGGGTCGGGTCCCTACATGTACGCTGCCGGGAAGAAGGCAGGAATACGCAGAAGTACCTGGCCCGGGTTCTGGGGCGTAGGGCAGGCCCTGGCTCCTCTGTTGTCCCATCACAGGGGAGGGGGAGGTCCAGGAGGGGGAGGACCCAACCTTACCTGGATGTCTTATGTCTTATATATTCTGGAAGTTGTGCAAATGCAGGGATGGGCATAGATATTCTGCTGGGGTGGGGCTGGGTCGGCTCCCTCGGGCTCTGTGGGGCTCTGTGATGCTGCTGCTTTGGGCCCTGGCAGGATGGGCTGGGGTCTCCATGCCCTGGGCGGCGGTATGACAACGGAGGTGCCTATTGGGGTCAGTGGGGGAGCTGGCTCCCTGGAGGGCTAAGCCCTACCAGCCATTCCTCCCCATCCCCGTTTATTTCTCTCCTCCTGCTCCCTCACATCATCACACAAACATGCACATAGGACCTTGGGGGGTGGACAAGTCGAGGAGTGCGGGTATGGACCCCATTTCCGCATTCCTGTGGCTTCCCGCCCCCCAATTTTATTTGCACCTTATGCACTTCCACCGACGACATTCCACGCAAACATACACTTAGGGCCTTGGGAGTGAGCACATTCAACGGCACTTGGCAGGGGGAGTTCTCAGCCTCCTCCCGAGTGCCGGTGCCCACTTCGAATTTTAAACTGCATTTAGACACCAAGGGCTGTGGGTGCAAGTAGGGTGGTGCAGTGGCATCAGCTGGCATAGGCCAGAAAATGCCCGCACTGCCCGCTCACCACAGCAATAGAATACACCTCATTAACACACAACACTATGTTGGAGCAGGTGGAGGGAGACCAGGGGGTCTTAGCACACCTCTGTTGTTGCTTGGCTGCCTGGGGCTGGAGACTAGGAGGGAGATCTGGCCGTCTGGTTGGGGTCTGGGGTGGTGGGTTGCTGTGCTCGGCGGTGGGCGGGGGAGCCTGCTCATCAGCACCCCAGCAGAAAGGGTCAAACTCTGGTAACCGGTGGTGGTTGTACCCCATGTGCAGCATTACCGGGACCAGAGTGAATAGGGTGTGTATGGGGAGCATGAATGGGTGTCCGGCGTGTATTTTTGTAAGTCTTTGGTTGTATGTGCATGTGTGAGCATGAGGGAGGGAGTGTGTGACTGTGTTTGTGTATGACTGTATATGTCAGGTGGGGCCTTTGACTCCTCCCTTCTCCTGGGACCTCCTTTGATGATATAGATCTTCGTCTCCCCTCCCCCCTGTCACACCTGGTGTGGGTGTGATGCCTTGGTCTGCCTGAGTGTTCGTGGATCCCGGGTCAGGGAGTTTAAGATTTTTGGCATCTGCCTGATCAATCCCGGTGGCGGCCTGGGGGGGTCTGGGTCCCTGGGCTCTGCTGGGTCCCCGGCGGGGGTGGTCGCCCCTGGGTCCCGGGTCGCTGGGTCCCGGACTCGGCCGGCTAGGGGGTGGGAGGCTGCGGGCAGGCCTGAGGACTTGCCGCTGATATCTCCCGGGGCTCTGCCGGCTGCTGGTTGTGGCCCCCCGGGGCGATCCTCTGTGCCTCTCGAGGGGGGCGGGGGCCTTTCTGGTTGCGGGCTCCTTGGGGTTCCTGTGTTCTGGGGCAGCGCCTGGATCTCTGGGACTTGGAGCTCCCCCCCGTCTCCTACGCGTCTTTGGGGGGCAGATCTGTGGTCCCTCACACTCTCTATTGGACGCTCCTATAGATAAACCTTACATAAACAAGCGCGTGTACACACACAGGTGCTCACATGGTGCTCTCATAAGTATGGGCTTGGGCACGTTCAACACATGTCTTAAGACTATGGTGGGCACTCAATGCACTGTGGTATATTATCGTGTGACTGTTTAGTTAAACAATGATTGATTATATATTTCTTCATCAAGTTGACGCAGTGATAGCTTGATTTTGTTATATTGGTGTTGTGTCCCATTTTTTTGTTATGTTTTGCTTTTTTCTCGTCTCATTTTGCAGGTCTAGAAGCAGACTCTTGTTCATTATTGTTTATTTTTGTTGAATCCCCCCCCCCACCTAACCCCCTCTCTCCCCACCTTTTCTCTTTTCCTTTCTCTTTCACCTCTGTCTCCGTGTCTGGTCGAAATTACAAAGCATTCAAAAACAATAACAATAAAGTTTTAAATATCAGGTGCGACATTAAAAGCAGACTCTTTGATGCTCCACCTGAGACATTAAAAGCAGATGCTCTGATGCTCCACCTGAGAGTAAAACTGTAAGGCTTGTTACCAGCATTCAGACATCAATTCTGCTTGCTTCACAGCCAGACAGGACACGTAAAAAAAAAAAAAAAAAAAAAGCTTGTACGTCGCTTTGGATAAAAGCGTCTGCGAAATGAATAAACATAAACATAATGCTTGAGAGGGTGACCAGATCTCAATTTGTCAAATGTGGGACAGAGACAATCTGGGACAACGTAAAGTTAAACAAACAAAACGTATATTCTGCCTTTTAGCCCTAAGTGCCTCCGTTTGATTGACAGCAACAGGCAGATTTTTCCACTGTTTCTTCTGTAAGATTGTAAGTATTTGTAACAAGGTTGGATAAATTCATCAAAAAAATATTTTAAACATTGAACAATATGGGTTTAGAACTAAACATTCCACAGCAATGGCAACAATGGAATTAACGGATAAAATATAAACAGCAACTGACAATAAAAATGACTTCTTTAGTGTTTTCATTGATTTGAAAAAAGCATTTGACATCATTGATCACTCAAGGTTACTTCGAAAATTAAGTCAGTGTGGAATAAGAGGTGTGGCTCATCAATGGGTTAAAACTTATTTAGAAAAAAGGAAACAGTTTGTTCAGATAAATCAACCATAGATCAAAACTATATGAAATTAAATGTGGAGTGCCACAAGGGTCGGTCCTCGGACAAAACTGTTCATTTTGTTTATTAACTACATGGTAAATGTATCTAAGACACTCAGTACCATTCTATTTGCAGATGATACAGCACTGTTTTCAATTCAATTCAATTCAAAAATACTTTATTAATCCCAGAGGGAAATTGATGGTTGATTGTTTTACTCAGGATTAAATATTGAGGAGGTGGCTAAAGTGATAAATGATGAACTGATTAAATTTAAAAACTGGTTTGATATCAATAGATTGACACTGAATCTTAATTAAACAAATTTTATACTGTTTAATAATAAGAAGAACAGTGATGTGTCATTGGAAATAGATGGGATTGAAATTCTAAGAGTAAAAAAACTAAATTTCTTGGAGTTCTTATTGATGAAGACTTGTCATGGAAATCCCATATTAGTTACATAAAAGGTAAAATTGCCAAATCCTTAGGAGTATTACATAGAGTCAAGTTTTTACTGACTAGTTCTGGTTTGTTGGCATTGTACAATTCACTGATTGTGCCATACTTGACTCTGGGGAGCAACATGCAAAAACTATACACAACCCTTATTTATTTAGCAGAAAAGAGCTCTGAGAATCATCAATTATAGTGGCTGTAGAGATCCATCGAACCCATTGTTTATTAAATATAAATTACTGAAATTTCATGATTTAAAAGACTGGAAAACCTTACAAACTATGTTTAAAGCCAATTTAGGTACTCTGCCAACAAACATTCAGGGGATATTTGAAAAGAGAGCTAGTAATTACATGCTGAAAGAAACTAATGTGTTTACAAAACCTAGATTTAGAACTAAAATTGAGGAATGGAATATATCTGTAAATGGTGTTAAATTATGGAATAACATTAGAAGAGAAATAAAAAAAACTGTCATTTAATATATTCAAAAAATGTACCAAACTGAGTGTATTAAATAATTATGAAAATGTAAATGAAATCAATGATCATGATCGCACTGGAATTTAGAACAGGAAACAGTTTGAAATGAATCTATGTGTGTCTGACAAATGGTAATTATATATAAATTGATCATTTCTTCTGGAAAAGGGGGCAGAAATTATAAGATGTTTTTCTTCATTCTTCTCCTTTTCGTTCAAATTTGATTTTTGTTTTGTATTTCTTATTGTTTATATGTTTTATTTGTTTTGATTTTGAATTAAATAAAAAAAGAGGGGGAAAAAAAGAAAAAAAAAGATTGAAACTCGAAACGGGGGACATGAGTCGCAATTTGCGGGACACGTGAAAATTAATGAAAAAGCGGGACATCTGGCCACCCTACTTGAGAGCCAAGAGATATGAAGTAAGTCCAACAGTTTGATAAATGCAACTAGATTATGAATTCACATTTTACGTTTTTCATGAAATATAAAATATTTTGCAAAACAGGACAGAACGGTTATCGTAGCGCTAAGTTCACATTTTCTTTACTAAACCCCCAAAACAACTCTGCTGGCGGCATTAAAAAATAAATAAATAAATAAATAATAAACCGGTTTGCTGCTAAATGAAAGAGCCAATTGTAGTCGAACCTTTCTAGCCAGTCAGAGGCGAGAAAGGTGGGATCTTCCTTGGACATCCTAGGATTCCAAATGACGCCTCCAGCTGATCTAAAATGCTGCTGCAGCCAAACTGGTGAGGAGACATCATCAGATGTAGCCATCTGACAGCCTGCTGTGATCAGGTGCTGCCACCTGCTGGCTGTATCCGGGAATTACCTTAACCTTCTGCTAAAAAACCTGCAACTGTGTGATTCTAGTTAAATCTGCTCTGTTGATCATTTCCCTCAGATCTTCAACTGTTTCTCTTTCCACTATTATTAATCTCATTCTGTCGTCTTTTGAACAGAAGCTGTGGTCCACACCTTCATCTCTTCCTCATTGTTGCTGTTCATCCTGGTCTTACTCCAGTCCAGCAGGAGGCGCTAGTGCACCTTTACGCTGATCACAAAACGACACTAAAACCAGAAGCTGTTCCAGGTCTCAAGCTGTTAGCAGCGTTAGCTTGTTGCTGGTTAGCAGCGTTAGCTTGTTGTGTGGGTGTGTGAGGTGAACCTCTGAGGCTCTGCAGCAACAATGTCTTCAGCTCAGTCTCTGAGAGAGTTTATCAGAGAGCGGCTAACTGCTGCTGCTGCAGAAATATTCTCCGAGTTTGAACAAACCATCGTCCGCTACGAGGAAGAGATCGATCGTCAGCGCAGACTGCTGGAGATCAGCTGGAAACCACAGATCAACTTACACAGAATAGGTATGAAACAGCAGCGGGACTCATGAGGTTTTACTGAGGACACAATCTCAGGACAGTCTGCTTGGGTCCGTTTGCTGTTCTGAAGCTTTTTGACACAACTGAGCTGAAATAAGCCGGTTAACTTTGTTCCACTTTAGATAAATAAACCAATAACATTTCAGGGGTTTTAGGAAGTTTTTCATTTTCAGGAACTCCACTAAATCCGTTTAAAAGAGACAAACTTTAAAGACTTGGCGAACGTTTCCAGCTGATGTTCTACAATCAGAGACTTGTTTAGAAGTTTCTGTTAGTCTGATCTGTTTGTGGACATTACCAAGTAAAGCTGTCAGCAGCTTCAAAGTGGAGATGATTCCATGAAAACATCTCAGTCCCGTTTTCATCAGAGACTGATGCATCTGAGGAACATCTGGATGTTTATGTCTCTATAAACTCACCTGTAGTACCTGTGTGTCCATCCCAGAAGTCAGTAAGAATCTAAATCAATGAATCTGACACACACACACACACACGCGCACACGCACACACACACACACACACACACACACACACACCTGCTGTTCTCATGTCTGACTGTAGAACTGTGTGTGGTTGTTTGTCAGGTTAAGAGTTCATTATGTTCTAAAACATCTTCAGATGCATCAGATGATTAAAGTGAAGTGTGTTCTCTTATTGTCACATGATTCATCTTTTTGTTTGGTCTGTTTGTCTGTCCAGAACTCCCGCTGCATGATGTCAGGAGAGATGAGGAGGTTCTGACTGACCAGCAGCTCTGGAACCAGGAGACGACCTCCAGTTTGGACCAGGAACAACCAGAACCTTTACAGGAGGAACCAGAACCTCCACAGATGAAAGTGGAGCAGGATGAGTCAGAACCTTTGCAGGTTCTAGAACAAGAGGAGCTCTGCATGAGTCAGGATGAAGAGCAGCTTGTACTGAAGCAGGAGACGGTGACCTCCCTTGTGACTCCTGCTGATGAGGACAGAGACCACCATGGACCAGAACCAGACAGACACCAGCTCCTTTTGTCACTGCTTCCTGAGGCTGAGACCAGAGCTGCTGCTCCTCCAGGGTCCACAGGTGAGGGCGATTTTACGATCATTTTCCTTACTGTGACGTCACAATAATGGAAATTACTCATTTTAAATACATCATTGCTGATTACAAACACTGAGAAAATGAATGGACAGTTATTATTGATGTTAGGAGTGTTTACAGAGGCAGTAGAGATCCACATGACAACACAAGTTAACTAAACAAGTCGTGAACTTGTTCCTCCCAGTGTGATTTTCTTTGAGAGAGAGAGAGAGAGAGAGAGAGAGAGAGAGAGAGAGAGAGAGAGAGAGAGAGAGAGAGAGAGAGAGAGAGAGAGAGAGAGAGAGAGAGAGAGAGAGAGAGAGAGAGAGAGAGAGAGAGAGAGAGAGAGAGAGAGAGAGAGAGAGAGAGAGAGAGAGAGAGAGAATCTTTCATGTTCTTTAAAATGGCAAAAAAGCATAATCTAATGTAAGAAAGCTACTTTGGTTATACTCCCAGGTTTCCATACAACTAGCAGGTGTTTAAAAATACTAAATAAAGGGATGAGAGCAAGCGCCCCCCCAAAAAACGCTCGGTTTTAGAGTCACATGACACGTGACGTGCCCAGAGGCAAATGAGAGGACAACGACAACTCGGTCATTTTGAGTTGCTGAGGTAAATCCAAGTAAACTAGTTCAAATATGGTGAATGTTTGTGTATGTGGGGGTGTACAAACTCCAGTTTGTCTGGACATCGTGTTTTCCGATTCCCAAAGCAGAAAAACCCAGCTTTCCATGCTTGGGTGAGATGTGTTGGGGTGAAACGGCAGGATTTTACCAGCAGCAGAGTCTCGAACAGCTCCGTGATTTGTGGTGTGCATTTCTGCGAGGAGGATTATATCGAGGGAGACTTGATTGAACGCAGGATGGGGTTCAGAAAAATGGACAAAATCAGACTGAAATCCACTGCAGCACCATCGACACATGGAAAAGGCGACAAGGGAGAAGGACCGGTGTCAGTACAGGATCTGCTCGGGTGCAAGATCAGCTCGGGGTCTTTCGACTGCCGATGACGTCAAAGTAGTTGATTGGCTTACGGGAATTACGTAATCATGTTACGTTGTTTTCACGTTACGTTGGTCCAGGCAAATCTTTCTGTTGGAAAGATGGACAACTTTTACAAAGAAATCCATCATTACCTCTTTGAAAATACACTTTTAGCACAGAGCTGCATGTATATTAGGGCTGGACGATTAACTGCATGTGCAATTAAATTGCGATGTGACAAAAGGAGATTTTCTAATCTCAAAGGCTGCAATTTGGCAGCGAGTGGTTAGCGCAATGCTAATATACATGGATAACCCCATAGGAATGCTAATGCTAATATCACCGATTACATTATTACAAATTATGAATTAGAAACGTGCCAAATGATTACATTTGGAGTCTAATAGAAAGTAAAACTACCATCAATCAAATAAGTACAGACAGGTATTTTAGTAAAGCCAGAAAACTTTTAACTCCAGAGTTTTGGCTAGCAGCTATGAGCGTAACTGAACTACGCATGGACAAGACGTCAAAAACTCTAAACACAAACTACTTCAATAAACGGGACACACTTCTTTCCTGCAAATACAATTTCACAGGTGTTGCTAATACCTATGATCCTTCAAGGGATGTGCTCAAAGAGGAGTTCAACATGAATCAAATATAGTGTTTTATTTTACAAATACCATTATAAACACTAACTTACGTCTTAAGAAACATTATTTTAGTAACGAAACTGCTAAATTCTTTCCAACAGTATAGATGTGTAGTGTATTTTGTCCGAGTGGGTTTGCCGTACTTTGACGTCATCGGCAGTCGAAGGACCCCGAGCCGATCTTGTACCGACACCGGGAGCAGCCGCGGCCGGAGCGACAACAACAATGGCGGCTCCTTCCAGCCGCAGAAGAGACTCAGGAGCTACACGCAGGTCAGCAACTCACAAGCTGGAAGTAGCCAGAGTAAGTGTTGTTTACTTTCTAAAAACCGTTAATGACAAAAACATTCAATGATAGAAATGTGTTTATACAAATAATGTCTATATTTAGCCGTTTTAGGCTATGATTGCACAGCTAAGTGAGAGAAAAACTGACCGCACTTTGTCGTTATGTAACATAAAGTTTCTCTATAATCACGGTGAGCAGAAAAATAACCGACACGGTGATTCTGTTTAAAAAAAGTCATTTGAGCACCACGAACAACCCTTGCTTGCCTCCGGTTTTTACCAGCTGCTTCGCCTGTTCGTAACGTGATTTTGCACAGCTGTGTTCACTTGAGGGACTCGCGCTAAAGTTTGTGTACGTTGTTGTTGTTTTTTTTAGAAAACACTCAAATATCTCTCCTACGTTAGTGTAGTTTCCAGGTGTTATTTTGAGATTCATGCCGGGCTACTTATCAGGGCTTACATCCCCATGGCAATCAGCTGACTCCTAAAATCATGAGAGGTTCTGACCCTAATCAAGCATTTGTGATCTTGTTTGCATTAAACAACATTTTTATGTCTCTGCATTCATCTTTTATGACGAGTAGTTTTGTAATGTATTTTAATTATTTTCGCCCTACATGTTGATCTTTAAATTCAAGTACATATTTGTATGCTTGCTTTGCAGATGACGGCAGATCCGTCACGAGTGGAAACAACAGAACAAACCCCTGAAGCAGCTGCGTCTCCGGTGACACGATGTGACACGATGGACGACTGCATGTCGGGTCAGAAGCACTCCTCTACCACGGTGGTGGATTCAGGCAGCTCCTTCCTTATGGTTCTACAGGTAAACTATAACACGCAGAGCACAAAATGTCTTCACAATTTAAGCTCAAATTTCCAAGATTTCCATAAAACTGTTTATTGATTCACAAACTACGTTGTGATGGCTAACGTAACACAAAATCATTACATTAAAATATTCTGAGCAACACAGGTTGACCTACATCCATCCACCAGGGACATGGGGACCCGGAATGAGGAGTAGGGCTGGGGGTAAACGATTATTTTAAAACGATTATTCTGACGATTATTTTATCGAATAGTCGACTATTCTAATGACTATTTAGAAAATTAATCTAATGATTATTTTTCTATTGCACAATTAACAAAAACCAGAAAATCTCAAATAAATTCCTCAAAAAAATTGATAAATTGTTACTGTAAGAGAATAAACACTACGGGCCTTCCATTTTGTATAACACTGCTTTTATGTTATGTTCTGGTGACGTGTAGAACTTGGGAGTGCAGGCTGCTGCCTGAGAGGTGGTTGGAGATGGAGTGTCTCCATGCTGCTTTGTTTTGGTCACTTATGAGCGTGAGGCGAGTGGTGTTACGACCCTTCCTGGGGAGTTTGGCTCGTGTGCAAAAAGGAAGGGACAATAACGGGATTTAAAAGTTAAAATGATTATCAGGTTTATTTACAACTACAAAAAAACATAAATCTTTCCATCCACAGGTTGGGAATAATAAAACTAATTCTGCCTGTGGGGAATTAAAACAAAGTACAAATAAGTAGGGATCCAAACTCTAAACTGGGCGGTTAAACCAGACTCAAGGTGATATTTTAAACTAAACCAAAAACACACAACACTCTAAATGTAATAAAAGGGAGATCTGCACCACAAAAAAGATGAACTCTAAACCAAAACGTAACAGCTTATCCCAACGCAAGAAGCTGTTAGCGAAGATGCTAACAGTAGCTTTACCAACGTTAAGTTCAAGTTACCAAGTTTAAATAAACCAAAAACACCCAGCAGCAAACAGACCAGCACGGAGGAGAGACTGCTACCACCAAAACAGCTCTCCTCATGTCTGAAAGAAGCTCCTTAATGAAGGGAGAAACGCTCCCGGTGATTTTCTACATCTGCGGTAGAGACGACGCAGCGCATCTGACCCCGGAAGTTGTTGTCCGTTGCCGGGAGACGAAGGCGGGCAAAACAGGAAAATAATCTAGTAGTGGACGGACGTTGTTCCGGGTCTTCGGTATTTGGCGGAGATGTTAGTGAAGGCGGAGAAGAGGGCGAACTAGAGGAAAAACAGGCAGATTCCTCCTCTATTTACAAACTCCTGGGGATGCAACAAGTGGGCGTGGTGCGTCGACTTCCGGATCTGACGTCGACAAATTTTTAGAATCGAGCCGTCGACGTCGTCGAGGCTTCGCTACAGCCCTAATGAGGAGAGTGATGTGTTGAGGCACTCAACACCTTTATCATCGCCAGTATCGTCACTTGAGCCCCTAGATGACCAGGAGGAGAGCTACGATCCATCTGATGAATCTGAACCCATGTCTATTGATGACTCCTTATCAGATGATGGATCTTTAGAGGATGAACCAGGCTGGTTAGTTGGTGCTTGTTTGGTTTTAAAAATGGAACACAGATGAAATGTGTAGTATGTTAATGATCTGTTTTCATTCTCAGCCAAAATCCACAGGAAAACAAATACGTCGTTTGCCACAGCGAACCTTCATAGAAATTCAGCAGGTTGGTCGATTATGTATTAGTCCAAAAGTAACTATCCGTATTTTCACCCTATTTTTAAATTTACACCCAGTTTCGTTTTTGTTTTGTTTTTTTTTTTTGGTTGTGTGTTTATTCCAGAAATGTGATCTGTGTGGTTACAACAGATCGTGGCGAAATCAGCCCATGCTCCACAAAAACATGCCAGCCGGCAACCTTCTCCTTTCTGGGGCCAGGCACTTGACAGGGTGTGTGGTATCTCAGACTTTACGGACGCTGTCGCTGTTAGGTGTACAGACTATTTCAGCGGGAACTTATTTTAGACGTGAAAGGCTGTGCACAATTCCGTCCGTCCTTTTGGCTTGGGAAGAACAGCAGTCCGCTTTAATGCGACAGGAATACGGTGATGGTACGATGTTGTCTGCAGATCTGACAGCCGTGGTCACTGCGCAAATTATGGTTCCTACACACTCATAGAGAGACTAAACAAGGTAATTGATGTACAGCTTGTGCAGGCATGCAGACAAATATATATTTCATCAAAACTTATGTGGTAGTGAATTTAACCGTTTTGTGTTTTTCATCCATTACTGTAGAGTTCAGAGGTTCCAAACAGCTCCTGGTGTGAGCTTGAGGGGCTGAAGAGGAGCATCAGGCTCTTCTCGGATAATGACATGAGTGTCGATGTACTCGTAACGGATCGCAAAGTGGGTCAGAGAACAACCTGGACCGCAAGGAGCAAGGCACTTCTGTGATGTCTGGCATTGTGGAAAGGGTAATATTTTAATACGTTTACCGTTACAGATGTATGATGCAGAAAATCACATTTTTCATGTTACGGTTTAAATGCTCAGCTAGTTTCTTTTAGGAGTGCACAATATTTCTTTATAACTTTTCCAGGTCTGGCCAAGAAACTGGACACTGTCAGCAGAGAGAGTGGTTGTGAGGATTTGGCGTTGTGGAAGCTGTCCATAGTTAACCACCTCTACTGGACAGCAGCATCCACACCCGACGCAAATCCAGATTTAATGGAAGCCAAGTGGAAGTCACTGGTGAACCATGCACAAGACGTTCACCATCATGGAACACAAGCGTTTCCATCTTGTCTCCACCGTCCACTGGTAGGACAGGACCGGAACAAACAATGGCTAATTCCTGGTAACTAGGAGAAGTTATATAATTATGTGTGATTTATTTCAGTGTATCTTTCGGTGACCGACAGGATCGAGTGCAGCAGTTAAACTGGAACAAGTAGCATGCCAGCCGTTGCTTGTGAAAGATGTCAGACAGCTGTCACCACAGCATCAGACACATTCACTGGAAGCATTCCACTCCCTGATCCTGAAATTTGCTCCGAAGCATACGGGGTTCTCATACCTGGGCATGTACACTAGGCAAGTATTATTGAGCGTGTGTGTGTGTGTGTGTGTGTGTGTGTGTGTGTGTGTGGACTTTTGACCATTGTAATGGTAATAGAGGGTATGTTTGGTTAAGTAAATTGCCTTAAAGCTATTTCTCTTATCACTACTTGTGGCCAATAGCTGTGATACTCTATATAAATAGAATATCCCCTGCTTGGTCTTAGGATGATCAGTTAGAAGATTCTAGGATTCTTTTAATTATTAAGAGATCGTACACATTTCGCTTTGATTCAAGAACCAGTCAGGTTTGCAAACAAAATAAGAATTTATTTTACAAATAATTAAGGCCTAGTCCACACGTAGCTGGGGTTTTTTAAAAACGAATATCCGCCCCTCCAAAAACTTGCATCCACACCACCTCGTTTTAAAAACAAACTCTGTCCACACGTACCCGGATAAATACGTTGTTAAGGACATGCCAGACCTGTAGGCGGCAGTACTTCCCCCGTTCTTAACCTCGTCCTTCGTCTGTGGTCTTCCGCAAGGAGCAGTAATTCCTCTTGCAAAAACAAACAAGCAAAAAGCGCTTGGACAATTGATAAAGCGGGCGCAGCTCTGAGGGCATCCATGCTGTCGGCTAGTGTAAACACAGGTCGTACACGTGATGTCAGCATTTTATTGTCGCGGAAAGTGACGTTGCGGACCTTAAAACTCCGGTTTTGTCTGTCCACACGCAGACACCCAAAACGGAGAAAACGCAGATCTTCACTTTGGCCGGAGTTTTTAAAAAGATCCGTTTTCGTGTGAAAAAACTCCGTTTTCGTGTGGATGACAGGCCAAAACGTAGAAAAATATCTACGTTTTGGCAGATCCCCGGCTACGTGTGGACAGGGCCTAAGACTTGACAAATTGTTTAAACTATTATACGGTGACTGGATAGAGCTAAATGGTGATGTCTGCAACCTATGTGAATATAAGATGATGGAGTCGGAATCTCCGTATCTCAGAGAGAGTGACTTCTGGATATAAAAGAATTTGGTTTGCAACTATGCCAAGTTGTTTCGTATTAAAAACCGCATGCAGACGCTATCTGTGTGTCTACATTACCCATAGAGGCACTCTCTTGTGGATCCTAAAGTCAGAGGGGTCGGATGACCGCTGGTACCTGAGGCTGTGGAGTATCGAGGTACAGAGATGTGTCTCGGGTCACAACAGACGGATGGAACCCAGCGTCTTAAAAATAACTCTGAAGGAGTTATGAGTCAGCTTAGTACTGCAGGAAACTGTCTTGTTGTTCTCTGCTTCGCAGGTGCGGAAAGTTTTAAGGTTTTGACAACATGTCAGAATCCTTTTGGTTAAAGAGGTCTGCCAAAGATGGCCAGTCTAAGGCTTGCTCTCCAACTGGCGAGGAAGCAGGGTGGACTGGTTTATATGGACTGATGCTATCTGTTAACTCATTCATTGCCATTGACGACTAAAGTCGTCATTTTAGATCCAACCGTTCACTGCCAAAGTCCTCATGCATTGTTTTTTACTGTTTGAGCATCAGAACGAGCCCCCGCGCTGAGAGAACAAACATCTCAGCCCTGAAGCCGATCTTCATCCGCATACGTCACAGATCGCATGATCAGGAAGCAACACATCCATGTGTTTGGAGATCGTTTTGGGCCGTTCCTGTAAAAAAAGTGAGGCGCGAACCAGAAAAGCGTCTGCCGATCACAATTCGACAACGGATTATGAAAGAACGGATAACGCTCGAAACACGCGGACTCTTCCTGATGTAAGAGGTGAGTCTTCTCTTTGTTTTGGTTGTTTTGGCATCAACATCATGCTAGAGCGCAATGTTCTGTGACTCTTAAAAAAACAGTAAAAACGGTGAGAAACGCTGGCAGCGAAGGCTGTTAGCGATCAGGAAATGGCTGGCAGCGAATGAGTTAATAACCAACCAGAAGTTGGCACGTTTGAGAATGTTACCAAGAATCTCAGAACGTACCGACTGTGATGTAGAGAGTCTGAATGTGGGCGCAAGGTTACCTATGTGTCATGCATTTTTAACTTAACCTTACTCTGTCTGGTGTGAGTGCGAATGGTGATGACATCATCCAGTAAAGACTAAACAATCATTGAGTACAGATTAATGACACATTTCATTGCTTATAATTATACATAACAAAGGTTCATTCAATGATTATTTTAATTATAAAATCTTCTTTTCTTCTGGGAATAAAGAGTTTATGGTAACACTTTATAATAAGTGCACACTATTAAGCATTAGTTAATCATCAGTAAAGCATTGGTTAATGGTTATTTAATCATTTGTAAAGCATCTGCAAAAACATGATCATAATTACTTAACGGCTTACAAGCACCACTATTAAGGCTTTATTCATGATGAAGAAGCTACTATGTCACACTTTTTATTCATGATGTTTCATGATCTATAAGTCATTGATTAATCATTTATAAACTCTGCTCTCCATCATGTACAAACCAGTCCTTTCATGATGTAAAACAGTATACAACCCCACTGGTAAAGGGTAAGTAAATAGTTAATATACCCTATATAATACTATAAACTAAACATTTACTACACATACTTGAGTCTCACTAGATGTTTTCTAAACACTGAATCTCACGACTACATCAGTCAGCTACTAAATGTTAACAGATGTCTTACAATACATTTAAAATTGTCACTTAACTGCTTCCAAAGATGCAGCTCCCTAGCGACCCACTTCTTTTTCAATAGATAATCTATCAATTATTATAAATACATTAATAAACTACTTTAGAACGTTACAAACCATTTACTACTTCTTAGTTAAGTATTTTGAGTGAGCTCATCTAAAGTGGAGACTATATATACCTTACAACCTATTAATAAATGTGAAAGTTTTTCAAAATACATTGTAACAAAAATAAAGGACAACACAGATACACAAAGCACTTTATTTTTAAGATGCCAATTATAAAACAGAACAATGCTTACAAATATTGACAGACAACTGTCAAAACAAACATTTTGCTGAACCACTATTAGCCAGTATTTGAAGTAAAGAACAAGGCTTGATGCACTTTTATGACCTGTATGTTTTTACATGAAATGTATCACATGTGTGATCTTTAAAATAAACATAGAATCTAACAGTAAAAAAAATAATAAAAGTCATGCAAACCAAAAATAGTGTCTTTTTTATCACACCAATCTGCCAATCAACTGGACTACATAACTAAATCTGGCCCTTTTTGCAGTTAACAATGGTGACCTATCACCACATTTCACAATGTAAAAAAACACACACAAATCTAGTCTTTTTTTTTAAGAGGAAGTAACTTCCCAGAAGACTTATAGGACTCACGTTTGTCCTCTAGTTCTGGATCTGCACTGATTGCTGCAGCACACTGTGTTGCAAACAATGACAGTTTATTTCCCTGTTTGTTTTTTTCTAATTCTTTATACCTATCAGGTGCGACAATGAAAAGCTCAGCAATTGGAGCAGTTGCCACAATTGTGTTCCGGTCCACTCCCAGACGTTTAAAGGCAGCTGACATGGTCCCTCCTCTTTTGAACAGCCTCAAAATCCTCTCATACCGGGAGACCACTTGTTTGGGATTCTGGGCTGCAATTTAGAGAACAAATGTGTTATATTGACATTATTAATTTTATGTAATAGTGTAGTAATGTAACACACATATTTCTAAATTTACTCATTAACTGCAAATGACGACTAAAGTTGTTATTTGCATTTTTATACTGTGTGGGCGTCGGAAAGAGCCCCTGCACCGTGAGAACATACGTGCCAGCTCTACTTTATTACATTTGTGAGTTTTCAAGCTAAGGATGAAAGCAATCTAAAAACTGGAATTTATGAAAGATTATTTAATTTTAGTCACACATAAGTCTCTATAGACACTAGAAGGGTTAAATAACATAATGAACTCAGAGGAACAACTGTACAATACAGCATGTATGATCAAATTATAGAAAGATTTAATCACTATACCTCTTGTTCTTGCAATTTGGTCATGTTTCTTTGACTTCTTATTCTTTTTGGCTTTGCCTTTCTTCTTCCTCTTCTGACTGTCTTCATCTGATGAAGTTGTGCTCATGGAGGAGTCAGAACCCTTATCAAATGACCCGTCAGAGGAAAGTGAAGACATGCTCAGTACGTCACTGGGATGCTGGACAGACCTTGTGGGTTCTTTTGTGAGACCTAGTAAAACAGTTAAACAAACAACATAGACAAAGTTACAGAACAGAATGCTAATGTAAATGCTAAAGCAAATAAAGTATTTGTCATGCTATGTAATGTTTTTAATAGTGGACTTACATGCTGCTAATTGCTCCTTAAGATAGTCTCTTTCTTTGGTGAGCTCATCAATCTTATCCTTTTGCCACTCTAGCTTCATCTTACAGATCTCCACCTCTTGTGATCGTCTTCTGTCTGTCAGCTGTGCAGTTGGAGCAATAGTCACACCTAGAAAAAATTAAAAACAAAAAGAAACTAAGCTATTAATCCAACTAACGGTTGATTAAACAACAACTGCAGAAAATGCTAAAGTACATTTTGTAAAATATGAATAACAGTAAAAACATTGCAATGATTAATACATAGCCTGCTGTGGTAAAATTACAAACTATATTAAGTTGTTTTAAGAAACTTGCTTACTTGACAATAATTATATATTAATGTATTTCAAATATATTGTATTAGACTGTATAATGTAGAGCATTTATTGCATATTTATATTGCATAAACATGCATCAAAAAACCTACAGAATGACAAATTAAATTGCAGAGAGCACAATTATAACTAACAGCAGCCCAGAGTTATTCCAAAAGCAATAATCCTTAATTATTCCTTTAACTGAGTCACAAAAATAACTAGTAACATACACTGCACATTGTTTTTGTGGATATCTAAAGCTTGAATGTAGCTGAAAGCTAAGCTAACCGCTTATTAGCGGTTAGCGCCTAGCCCCGTGATGGTAGTTTTTTTTCCAACAAAATTACCAAACACAATAAAGTGCAAAACACTCACCACTGGTAACACTGACATCCACCTTGTCCACGTCGTTACTTCCCTTTTTTGCCCTCGTTCGCCTGCCTATTGTAGATCGACCAGGGCTCGTCATGTTCACAGAGCTAGAGGAAGCCATTACTCCACCTTGGTTATGCCCTAGAGGTGAAAGGGCACAGCATCGCGGTCTCCTATTGGTCACGTCGGAAGACGGAAGCAGCAAATGCGCGGCTTTCTCTGGCCAGAAGCGACATTGCAGCTAAAAGCTAGCGTAACTGGAAACTCATTAAATGATATTTTGGCCAAAAATGGGAAATTTTACACGACTGAAAAAATTAATTAACGAGGAGCTTTCTAGAAGAGGCCCACTGAAGCTTATAAAACATCTTCAGAAGATTAAACTGCTTAAAAGAAAAATGAAATGCAAAGTATGCCACCAGGAAAAAAAACTGAAGAAAAGGGTGAACAACGGAGACCAATATGCCTGGTAAGAAATGCATTTTTTATTTTTGTAGAACGCCATAATAACCGGGGCACTTACTGTAAAATTCATTGTTATTATTTGGTTTTATACCTAAATCCTCATTGAAACAGAGCAAACAGGGACATCTCTTGAAAGGGATGTTCTACCCCTAAATACAAAATGCTTTTTCTTACTTAAGTAACTCACTGTATATAATGATACATACATTTTTTCATGTTACAATTTTTAAATAGGATCTGTCGAGGAGCAGCCCATGGTGGACGCGTTAAACAAATCTCTGTCAGACACAAGTCCCTTTTCAGCCGTTCGAAAGTCTCACTTCAACACTGGATGCAATTTATCTACAGGTAAGCATAAACACTACACAAAAAGGAACTAAATTTAAATTACTTTTTGTAAGGATGTTATTTTTCTCCCTGAAGATTCTCTCAGGGTCTCAGATTACGTCAAATTGACATGATCGATGACACCATTGCAGGCAGTACGACAACACTTAGTAAAATGTCCAAAAAATTAAGGAGGGTATGTGTGGCTGCAGTTGAAAGAATGAGACGTCGTACAGGTCAGCAGATTGGTGGCCGGAGGGAGTTTGTTGTGATCGATGAGAGTCATTTTCGTCACAAACGAAAGGTAAGTTTTGTAATAGAAATTATATATTACATCTATATAACGACCTTTCACAGCATTTTTTTGCCATTTGTCTTAATTGTTTTCTTTCTGCATCAGTATGGGAGAGGAAGAATGGCAGGGGGCTGGAAAAGAAGAAAGTGGGTGTTCGGAATGCTGGTCATAAAAAATCAGCGTAAAACGAGGCCTATCTTGCGTCTTGTGGAGAAAAGATCTCGAAGACATCTTGTTCCTCTGATCACCCTTCATGTCAGGATTGGTTCAAAGGTGATAAGTGATGAATGGCGGGCCTATCGCGTTCTCCCAAACTTAGGTTATGGACATTATACTGTTAACCACAGCAGATGGTATGTGGACCCTCTAACAGGTGCCCATACCCAACATCTGGAGAGAGCCTGGAGGTCTTACAAGGAGAGAATTTGGAGACTCCGGGGTAACAGAAATGACAGCCTACTATCAGAACACCTTACAGTTATTGAGTGGAACGAATGGCTTGCAAAAAAGCACAAACAGGGTGCTTTAGGGAGACTGATATATGACATTTCAAAAAAATACAGATAAAAAAGTTATTAACCAATGCTTTACTGATGATTAACTAATGCTTAATAGTGTGCACTTATTATAAAGTGTTACCGAGTTTATTTAAAAGAGTTCTCTTTTATTATCTGTCGGAGCTGCAGTCCAGCTGATGAAGGCTCTGAGTAATGGGGCTACGTGCAGACTTCCTGACTCCTGTCAGGGGAAACTACAGTAGAATGTGTCAAATCCAGGGTAAGATGACCTCACTATGACCTGTGGGATCTCAAAATCAGGCCCTTTCGTGACGTTACACCATGTTTTTTCTTCTTCTTTTTTTTCCTCCTGTTTATTTCAGATTGCTGTTGGCTGCTCTTCATTATAACAGCAATGGCAACAGTGACATGGCCAGAACCAAGGCTGGTGTGGACAAATGTGCAGTGCGCTATCCACACTTTGAAAAAAGGTGGATGGTCTGAGCAGCCAGTCAAAGATAAACAAACTTATGATAATTATTAATGTTTTTTTTGTTTAGTAAATATTCAGTGTTGCACCAATCCCTATACACTGGCAATACTGGTGGTGGTCTTTACGTGTGTTTAAAAGAATTGCAGCTTGTGTTTATTTCTAACCCTACCCCAAACCATTTAACGTTTTAAAAACCAATGAGAGTATTTTGTGATGAGGCCGCTGGTTCAGCAAAGCCAATGCAGAGGTCTCTTGCTCCAGTGACAGGATGCCCGCCGCCTCTATGACGTGCGGTGCCCTGCTGTGCGTCGCTGTTCAGCAGTGGCTCCGCCGCGCCCCGTCGCTCCAGCGATGAGGCCGCTCAGCGGATCCAGTGCAGAGACGTCTCCTGCACCAGTGACAGGTCGACTGCCGCTCCTTCCGCCGCGTGCCACACCTTCTGAGCTGAGCTGCTTCCTTGATACCCGCCGCGCGCCGCCACTCCAGCGACGATCCTTCAGATGCGCACAGCTCTCTGACGCGCGCTGGCCCTTCAGCGACGAGGCCGCACAAACATCTCCAGCGCAGACACTTCTGCCCCAGTGACAGAACGCCCGCCGCTGTCTGCTGATGCGCTGCTCATTCTGAAGAGGGAAGGACAGCCTGATCCCGCGCAGAGACGCCTTCTGTCCCAGTGACAGCTTGACGCCCGGTGATTCTTCCAGACGCACTGTTCCTTGACGCACGCCGCTCCTCCGGCGATCAGGAAACACAGCTGATCCAATTACGCCTCTGCTGCTTTGGTGGCAGAGGACGCCAACTTTTCTTGGCCGACGGGACAGTTTTTTACCTTGAAGTGTAGCACCAATGCCCTATACACTGGCGCTGCTGGTTACTGATGCGGGTGGTGGTCTTTACGTGTGTTTAAAAGAATTGCAGCTTGTGTTCATTTCCGATGATGCTTATTATTTCGTCTTCTTCCAAAATGTCCACGATCCATTTACATGCAATTAAAGTGGTTTACAATGAATGCGTTACTTGCCCCAGTGGCCGTCTGCAGAGTCCTTTACACCCAGCCACAGTCCTCGCCACACAGTAAAAAACTGTTTGTCCCATATCAGCAACACCTGAGTCTGATCTGCATTGGCTTAAGTAGGCTGGTGCTTCCACAATCAAATCAACCAATCAGCTGAGGCCAAGCCTCCTCTCAGGTATGCAGACAGAAAATAACACAGTTGGCTCCTACATTCAGTATATATATATATATATATATAAATGATTCTTACATTATTTTGATTACAGAATATGTAATCAAAATAATGCTCCTGCTTGAACTGTCACCTTATCGTGGTGGAGGAGTTTGAGTGCCCTAATGATCCTAGGAGCTATGTTGTCTGGGGCACTTAGTGCCCCTGGTAGGGTCTCCCATGACAAATTGGTCTTAGGTGAAGGGTGAGACAAAGAACGGTTCGAAGGATCTTTCATGGCGGTTAAAACGAAGAGTCGGAGTACCCGGCCCGGAGGGTTACCGGGGTCCCACCCTGGAGCCAGGCCTGGGGTTGGGGCCCGTGAGCGAGCGCCTGGTGGCCGGGCTTTCGCCCATGGGGCCCGGCCGGGCCCAGCCCGAACCGGATACATGGGCTCGTCCAACTGTGGACCCACCACCCGCAGGAGGAACATGAAGGGTCCGGTGCAATGCGAATCGGGTGGCAGACCAAGGCGGGAGCCTTGGCGGTCCAATCCCCGGACAAGAAAACTAGTTTTTGGGACATGGAACGTCACCTCGCTGTCGGGGAAGGAGCCGGAGCTTGTGGCAGAGGTTGAGCGGTACCGGCTAGATATAGTCGGACTCACCTCGACACATTGCATTGGCTCTGGAACCTGAGACCTGGAGAGGGGTTGGACACTCTACTTTGCTGGAGTTGCTCCGAGTGAGAGGCGGAGGGCTGGGGTTGGCTTTTTGTTAGCCCCGAGACTCTCTGCCTGTGTGTTGGGGTTTACCCCGGGGGACAAGAGGGTAGCTTCCTTGCGCCTTCGGGTCGGGGAACGGGTCCTGACTGTTGTTTGTGCTTATGGGCCAAATATCAGTTCAGAGTACCCACCCTTTTTGGAGTCCCTGGGACGAGTGCTAGATAGTGCTCCATCAGGGGACTCCATTGTCCTGCTGGGGGACTTCAATGCTCACGTGGGCAATGACAGCTTGACCTGGAGGGGTGTGATTGGGAGGAACGGCCCACCTGATCAGAACTCGAGCGGTGTTTTGTTATTGGACTTCTGTGCAAGCCGCAGTTTGGCCATAACGAACACCATGTTCGAACATAAGGATGCCCACCGGTACACTTGGTACCAGGGCAGCCTAGGTCACAGGTCGATGATAGATTTTGTAGTCGTATCATCTGACCTGCGGCCGTATGTTTTGGACACCCGAGTGAAGAGAGGGGCGGAGCTGTCAACTGATCACCACCTGGTGGTGAGTGGGATCAGATGGCAAGGGAACATGCCGCGTAGACCTGGCAGACCCAAACGCATAGTGAGGGTCTGCTGGGAACGCCTGGCAGAAGAACCTGTCAAGACGGTCTTCAACTCCCACCTCCGGCAGAGCTTTGACCACGTCCCGAGAGCAGTGGGGGACATTGAGTCCGAGTGGGCCTTGTTCCACTCTGCGATTGTCGAGGCGGCTGTTGCTAGCTGTGGTCGTAAGGTGGCCGGTGCCAGTCGTGGTGGCAACCCCCGTACCCGCTGGTGGACACCAGAGGTTCGGGGAGCCGTCAGGCTGAAGAAGGAGGCCTACAGGGCGTGGCTGGTCTGTGGGTCTCCAGAGGCAGCAGACAGGTACCGGATAGCCAAGCGGGGTGCAGCAGTGGCAGTTGCCGAGGCAAAATCTCGGGCGTGGGAGGAGTTTGGTGAGGCCATGGAGAAAGACTATCGATCGGCTCCAAAGAGGTTCTGGCAAACTGTCCGGCGCCTCAGGAGAGGAAGGCAGCAACTCGCTCACACTGTTTACAGTGGGGATGGGGAGCTGCTGACATCAACTGAGGCTATAGTCGGACGGTGGAAGGAATACTTTGAGGAGCTCCTCAATCCCACCAATGCGCATTCCGAGGAGGAACCAGAGCTGGGAGGCCTGGGGATGGACTGTCCGATCTCGGGGGCAGAAGTTGCTGAGGTAGTCAAACAACTACACAGCGGCGGAGCCCCGGGGGCGGATGAGGTTCGTCCTGGGTATCTCAAGGCTATGGATGTTGTAGGGCTGTCATGGTTGACACGTCTCTACAACATTGCGTGGTCATCGGGGGCAGTTCCTAGGGAGTGGCAGACCGGGGTGGTGGTCCCCATCTTTAAGAAGGGTGACCTGAGGGTGTGTTCCAACTATAGGGGGATCACACTCCTCAGCCTCCCTGGAAAGGTCTACTCCAAGGTACTGGAGAGGAGGGTCCGATCGATAGTTGAATCTCAGATAGAGGAGGAGCAATGTGGTTTTCGTCCTGGCCGTGGAACTGTGGACCAGCTCTATACCCTTGCAAGGGTGATGGAGGGGGCATGGGAGTTTGCCCAACCAATCCACCTGTGCTTTGTGGATTTGGAGAAGGCTTATGACCGTGTCCCCAGGGGCACCCTGTGGGGGACGCTCCAGGAGTATGGGGTGGGTGGCTTTCTGTTAAGGGCCATTCAGTCCCTTTACCAGAGGAGCGTGAGTTTGGTCCGCATAGCCGGTAGTAAGTCGGACCTATTCCCAGTGAGGGTTGGACTCCGCCAGGGCTGCCCTTTGTCACCGGTTCTGTTCATCACTTTTATGGACAGAATTTCTAGACGCAGCCGTGGTGTGGAGTGTGTCGAGTTTGGTGGCAGGAGAATCTCGTCTCTGCTTTTTGCGGATGATGTGGTCCTCCTAGCTTCATCCAGCTCTGACCTTCAGCTCTTGCTGGGTAGGTTCGCGGCCGAATGTGAAGCGGCTGGGATGAGGATCAGCACCTCCAAATCTGAGACCATGGTTCTCGACCGGAAAAGGGTGGCTTGCCACCTCCGGGTCGGGGGAGAGGTCCTACCTCAAGTGGAGGAGTTTAAGTATCTCGGGGTCTTGTTCACGAGTGAGGGTAGGAGGGATCGGGAGATCGACAGGCGGATTGGTTCGGCGTCTGCAGTGATGCGGACGCTGAGCCGATCTGTCGTGGGGAAGAGGGAGCTGAGCCAGAAAGCCAGGCTCTCGATTTACCGGTCGATCTACGTCCCAATCCTCACCTATGGTCATGAGCTTTGGGTAATGACCGAAAGAACGAGATCGCGGATACAAGCGGCCGAAATGAGTTTCCTCCGTAGGGTGGCCGGGCTCAGCCTTAGAGATAGGGTGAGGAGCTCGGACATTCGGGAGGGACTCGGAGTAGAACCGCTGCTCCTCCGGATCGAAAGGAGCCAGTTGAGGTGGTTTGGGCATCTGGTCAGGATGCCTCCTGGACGCCTCCCCGGGGAGGTGTTTCGGGCATGTCCTGCCGGCAGAAGGCCCCCGGGTCGACCCAGGACACGTTGGAGAGGTTACATCTCCAATCTGGTCCGGGAACGCCTTGGGGTCCTGCCGGAGGAGCTGGTGGACAAGGCCGGGGAGAGGACGGCCTGGA